TATTGCAAAACACATGCAGAGATTTCTACTTTTCGCTCTTAGAGCCTATTCTAATCCTTTTGTCAAGTTTGGTTGGTTGTTATTATAACAAGTAGAAGTGACCTAACATCGAGCTGTTAATCATTCCATCGATGGGCTGACCCTGTCTGTGTGAATAATGCCCCCTGATGTGCAAATGACCTCGACGAGCGCCTAAGACAACATCTCGCCTCACTTCAGAGCTGACCCTTACATCAGGCGCTCTGTGACTAAGCATGGATTGGTCACTCAAAAAACAGTGGTGGTATGAGAGGATAACAGTACCGGAGGAGAAATATATGCCGAGAAATGGTATCAGGACAGGACCCTGGTGAGGCCATTGTGCTGTGATCCGCAAATGGAAACGCAGCCTGAAATGAGGAGTTGATACAAACTTAGTACAAACCAACCGACCTAAGGGAATGGAAGGCTTAGTTAGCGTAGGCGAAACTCCAACCAGATTTCAGCCCTGGACTGAACGTGGGAGCAGCAACACTCCACGCTACATCAGCGCGCATTAGGGGAACATCATCAGGCCCAAGCCCCGGAGGAGGCAGAACAACAAGGGAATAAAAAATTGCTGACGCAATCTGGAGTCTCTTTTCCTCCACCAAAAATTTAGTCCTGTTTCTGACAAAAACGACGAGAATTGGAGTAATGGTCCACCGTTGGATCAGTTCACTTATTCCACTTGCTGTTGTCAACATCGAGGCCAATTCAAGGTGGATGGATCCAATTTGTAAGATCTTTCAAGGTGCCCGCAGCCTTTTGAGAAGCAGACCCCATCGAAATTTCGCTCTCAGTAAAGACCGCGCCTTAAGGAATCTATTCAGGTTAGAGCTAACATTAGAGGGAGACCTACAGTGTCTCTAGAATACTTGTCCTATGTCGTATTTACGGGAATATTAGATACTTAGACGACCCCCCCCCCACGTCCATCCGGCGGTTGTCCTCGCGCGGGTCGCAACTTCCGCTTTAATGCTCTCAAAGCCTTGTTACTTATGGAGTACACTTCAGCCTGAGCCTAAATCACGCTCCATACTGAATCTTATCTAGCTCGTTTCCGTGATCCAAAAAAGATACCACTCTTGAATCATAAGTCGTAGTAGCGAAGTCAGTTGTGAGGTTTCTTGCAAACCACAAGTCAATCAGCCCCGAAGCGAGGTTTGTCTATCGTAATTCTATCATTTTCTTTCTTACCAGCATTTATTGCTTTCCTCGTCCGCATTCCGCATTCCTTCATTCAATGGTTTTATTTGTTAAAACCGTTTCCATTCGCATGTATGCTCTATTTCGGAAGACGAAAAGAAAATCGAGTGCAGACCACACATCGTAAGAGACGACGGCCAAGAGAAAAGCGGCCTTTTTCTTGGCCGTCGTCTCTTACGATGTGTGCTCTCCACTCGATTTTCTTCTCGAAAGAGAGGTTGTGTAGGTAGAATATAATGAAATAGAAGAGAGAAGGGAGACTATTGGTGTTCGAGCTAAGGAATATCCGGCTAGTATGATATGCCGCAGCGAGAGAGCCTAGAAGCCGTGAAGGTGAACGTAGTGGTGACAATTTTGAAGCACCCACAAACCTTTGGTGCAGAAAACGTGCTTTGCAGCACGGAAAGCAAAAGAGATTTGTTGAGCTTCGAAGGGAAACTATGGAGTGAGCGTTACCGAGATGAGTGCTCTTTCAATAAACAAATCAACCATTCATACCTTACTTCGAATTCCAATTGAACCAGCAGGTTTCATATACTTTTCCTTAATAGGTGTTTATAGAGACACTCTATGGCCGGGAGGACCTAAAAGGCCTATTCTCTGCTCTAGTTGACGTCTGTGTGTAACAATGGATTTTTCCGTACGTCAAACCCCGCTATTGTGATTTGTAGGATGTTCTATTGGATTCAGAACATGTCATCGGGGATGTTATGAGTTGAGCGCTCAATGGTATGCAATTCAGAGTTCATCTCCCAAGTTGAAACACACTAGGTCATTGACGAAGCTTACATCGAAGCTTCGGGTGTGGTTCACTAGGACAGAAAGCGACTTTTTCGCGTTTCGCAGCGCGAAACATTTTTCGCTGCGGGAACCTCAGGTCCACCGATGATCAGCGGTGGACCTGAGGTTCCCGCAGCGAAAATGTTTCGCGCTGCGAAACGCGAAAAAGTCGCTTTCTGTTTCAAGGAACCCTCACCCGAAGCTCCGTCAGCGACCGACTAAATCGTTTCACGTCAAGCCATTCGAACCGCTATCAAAAGGCACCTCCTTAGGTTTTGGCCGTCTGTTTTATCAGTAAAATCCAATAGTTTTATCAATGTTCAAATATAAGATATTTGCTGTTTGAGTTCCAATTAAAGCAGCGGATTTTACATACTTGTTCTTATCAATTTATGGGGTCTATTCCAGTTAGGGGGGCATCATGGTGCGGTGACTCCCAAAAAGCTACGGTAACTCTGAGCCAGGGGGAGTGTAGCCAGCCTAGGGGGGGTGGGGGTGAGTCGAGTTTACATTAGCTCGCCGAGAAACTGCATCATGGTGCCCCCTCTAACTGGAATAGACCCAATTCATGCTTAACGAGTACAATCGAAGTACGAGTATAGATTTTACATTTTTCGCCTTATTACTGGACTAGGGGGCGGAAGTGGTGTAGTGGCAAGTGGCACGCTTACCACGCGAGCGGTCCGGGGATCAAATCCTGGGTCGTGAGTCGCCCGGGCCAACCAAGCCTTCCATCCCTCCGGGGTCGGTTAATTGGTACCAGACTTGTCTGGGAGGATAAAAACACTGACTTGTACATCGGCTGGCCCCCGCAAGTCATTGTATAGGCCACATCGCATTCAAACGCCACTACGAATGTACAAATGGAAGTAGAATGCGTGCCGCATCCCAAAAAGGGATTGATCAACGGCAAATGCTTTATCCTTTTTATCCTTTATTACTGGACTAGAACTCAAAAATGCTTACTCATGGCTATGGAGCTCAGAAAAGTGTCTATAAATCAAGCATAACCATCCTTTCCTGTGTGTATGCATGGCTCAGCATATGGTCCGCAGTGAGTTATGTGGCCTCAAAAGTACTAGCATAATAAGTTAGTATTCCGAGTAAAAAAATGGAGAAACCGAGGAACAATTCACAAACTTACGTTGGAGTAGAGGTTCGTCTGAGGAAATGAACTGTGTTGATTATTTTGTTTACAATGGTTTTTCTTTCTTAAGTGGGGCTGATATCACAACATCCCAACAAAGAAGAATCGATTCGTTGAAAAGTTTCCAAGTGAGTTGTGGACTAAATTCAAGGCCTTCATACTCTTTTTCAACCCAACCCTAAAGGATTTCCCAAAACTACAGAAATAGGTGCCACCGTTAGTTGTTACTTGTGTTCGTTTGAAGTTCAAGCTGAACTTCAAGAGAAGTAGAAAAATAAAGGGCGAAAAAAATTGGGAACCTTGGCCCACCATGTGATCAAATCTTAGGCCTACTTTGAATTTGAGAGTTTCTTGGAGGAATTTTGAAAGGGTTTGCACCCATAAGATTCTCTATATGAAAACGAGAACACAAGAACAATCGTAACATCTTTTTTTGCGACCCTGCTCCGTTTAATATCATTTTCTGTGTATTTTTTTTAATGATTTTTGTATTTCTCTATTTCTTTCTATGTTCCATTTTGTATAAGAGTTCTGTGTGACAATGAGGGAATTTGGTTACTTGAATACTTTACTTCCACTAAAACAAAAGAAAATGGATTAGTTACTACGGACTTCTAACAATTTTCGAGTAACATTTGTTTTTTTTTGTATTTCAAAACAACTTATCTATGTTTACGCTTCCTGAGTCGATGTCCCACATATCCTATTTGTCCATCATATCTCCATCACATCACGCAGCGACCACCATCTGTCTTTGTCGTCGTATTCAAAAGCGTTGTTAACGCCGTGCCATTGGCAACGTGCCCATTCATACGAATCATTTTGAATTCGCGCCATTTGCCGTGTCTGGCGCACTCGACGCATCGCGTACTCTCTCGACACGCGAGCCTTCTGCGTCTTCACGATGACGCGCTGTCTCGTCGAAGCCACGCCCACCGGGGTTTTGGTCGAAAAGGGCGCGAGTACATAGCAGTGGCGTGGTCACTCAGATGGCCAGTTTTTGGTTCCTGTGGTCGCCCCGCTTGGCCAATTCGGTCTGATCTGACCGGCTTGGCTACGTGTCTAACCGACTCTTTCTGCTGTTATTTTCCCTGATAGTGTAATGATAATGTGTTTGTTATTTGTACGTGCTCTGATAACTCGTTCTCTCCAGTGTGTAGACTTGTTCGAGTGAAGTTCATTGTTCTTTCAGCACACAGTACAATGGGTCGCCCAAAGAAGACAGCAGCAGCCTCATCACCCAAGAAAGTCAAGTCACCGAAGATGAAAGCCGAAAGGAAGAAGAAGGACCCGAATGCACCGAAACGCGCTCAATCCGCCTACATGCTTTGGTTGAACGAGAATCGCGCCAAGCTGTCGAAGCCAGGCATGAGCGTCGTCGATGTGTCCAGGGTGAGTCGTTTTCTACATACTTTTTTGGGCGCAATGTGGCTCGGGGGGGGGCACTCTGAGAAAAGTCATCTAGGACTAAGCCTAAACAGCAGGGACGAACTCCGGAGAATACGAAAATTGCTTCCGTACACCGGAGTTCCTCTCCTCTTCAAAAGCTTAGTCCTAAAACGGAGCGTTTCCGTGATTTTGACGCGATGTTGCGAGGTGCCCCCCCCCGAGCCCACATTGCGCCCTTTTTGGCATAGTAACTTTTGATGAAGAAGTTTAAGTTTTGTCCGTTTATAGGCCGCCGGTGTCGAATGGGCCACGGTGAAGGACAAGTCTAAGTGGGAGAAGATGGCAGCCGAGGAGAAGAAACGGTACGAGAAAGAGATGGCAGCATACAAAGCTGGTGGATCATCAGGTTCATCACCAAAGAAGGCCGGCAAAGCTAAGGCGAAGTAAACTTATTGCACCCTCAGTGTGTATGTGTACTTCTCAGCTCACAATACCTCACTCTTTCCTCACCGACGTTTTTCGAATTTTGCGTGTGTCACACGTGCGCTTCATGGTTTGACCATGTGTGACGCGCAAATACTGATGATCATTGTACAATATTAATAATGTTTTTTGTGTGCTACGATGTAGTGAGCGTAAGCTCGCAAGTATTGGTCTTGTAAATGTCGTGGTGGGCGTACCTCCGTGGTTATCGTGTCTATGCATTTATTTTACTGATTGATTTGGTTGAGTGCGATCTCTGATCATAATAATGGGACGACCAATAAAGTATGAAATAAAGAAGGTCCACAAATGGGTTCAGAATTTTCATTCAACGTGGAACACCGTTCACCAAAGTTGTTCTTTCTGGTCGGGAATGAAAACCAATCAATGATACAGAGCAATGGGATGGCTGTTATTTGTTATTGAGCCGTTGTAATGATAGACAGTTGCAGTGTTATCAAGCGTAAGTTGACGATTAATACGATTTGCTGGTATCGTCCCAGTGGAAACTATTTATTGAACCCGGCGGGGCGTTGGTGAAGGATAAGATTCCCTCCTACGGACTCGGTCCCTTAAACCGCCTGAATTTGGTGCCCCCTGGTTCTTTCGCGGTAATCACCCTTCCCCCCACCCTTCCAAAGTCCCTCGATTTCCAGAGCCTGATTGCAGGGCTCTCATTTTCCTTCTAGGTGTTTGGAACCGAACCAGGCATTCTCTAGTCGTGTGCTGTGGTCATTCGTGGCAGGATCATAGAAGAAAGTTGAGCTAGTCTGTAAACCAGGTTCTCCCTAGGCAAATGTTGGAATGTTCTCCAAAGCAGACGGGCATCCAACCCGCTCGCCAAATTGGGGGTCGTAAGGTGTCTTCGCCGAACAGGAGAGGGATCCAATCCTGATAAGGACTGCATGTCAGTTACGGATATCATCCCGACAGAATGTCAACCGGGGCAATATCCCCAGAATTGGTGAGCGTGGTCTTTCCCTGAAAGCTTTCGGGGAGAGCATACCTTACCAGGATGGTATCGCACTCACTAACGTTCAAGCATACCTGACGGCCCCCAGGATACCCTTCGCCTGAAGTAAATTTTGGTTATCTTAGTAGGCACGTCGCTTTCTGAACACGGCATGTGCGGAACGTGTCCTCCCTTTCAAAAACGAGAAAAGCGTCGGGTGCAGACCATACACCACAAGTGACGACGGCCTCCAAGTAAATCTGGTTAGTAGTGGTTCATAGTGATAGCTGATTTTTGGTAAATGATAGTTGTAATTAGTGACAACTGATAGAATACAACTGCAACAGGCTAATCATTTCATTGGCAGAAAACATTTACAGGCGCAATGTGGCTCGGGGGGGGGGGCAGTCGCCGCCGCGGCTTAGCGAAGTAGTGTAAACTCGAACATTCCAGCTTCTCACGCATGTCAAGTGACTGCCCTCACCCCCAACCCCCCTGAATTGGCTACATTCCCCCTGGCTCACGAATTTCCTGTTGCCGCACGCGCCGCGCGGCGACTGGCCCCCCCTCCCCGAGCCACATTGCGCCCATTTACATTTTTTAGAGGCCGTCGTCACTTGTGGTGTATGGTCTGCACCCGACGCTCTTCTCGTTTTTTGAAAGAGAGGTATGTGCGTAGCGACTGGTGCCTACTGCTATGTCGTGACGAGACGCTATGGAAATAACTCACATTTCACCTTTTCACGTATGTCAAGTGACTGCCCTCGTCCCCACCCTCTGAACTGCATGCACCCCCCTGGCTCACAAATTCCCTCGTTTCTTGTGATACCGTAGCAGTGAGCACCAGTCCCTACGTATACATACGTTTTGCGCCCACCGTATTCAAAAATTCGGCGTGCCCGTCCCACGTGCACTGCACCTAGATTTTTAGGTGGATAGGTTGACTGCAGAAAGCACAAAAGCGGGTCAAGTTTGGGTCCACTGCGACAGTAACCTTCAATAATAAATAATAATAGTAATATGGGCGCTCATTTCCTTAGGGGGACATTAAAGGCAGCGATTACGATAAAGAGGAAGCGCATCGGGGAAGCATATGCACCACACGAAGCAGTTACTTGGCTGCCAAGGAAGCGAGGTGTGGCGCTTTCACGACGAAAGGTGCGCTGGTTGCTGAGCAGGACTTCGAAAGCACTCCGCCCCCAAAAGCGATCCGCCCACTAGTTTAGTTGGTGATTTGGACGAGCTGCGTTGCCAGCAGCGGCACAACTGGAGCAACTCGATTGGAGCGTGGTTTGGCATGGTGCCACCAAACGCGTTGCGGTGAACTCGTTCATACGTCCCTTTCTGAGCTGTTACCTGTTCATGAGTGAAAACCAACGGCCAAAAAAGGGGTCCCGTTTTGCGTTTTCTTGACGGATTTCTCTGCTTTTTTCGCCACTGGCGTACCACTGAGCACCACCTCGTCTCTCTGAACCCTCCTACAATTATCGTAATCGCTGCCTTTAAGCACGGTATTCAAAAAGTGCTGTGGGGGATACTAGGACTGAGCCCAGGATTGGGAATAAAACCAGGGAAAACAATAGTTGCTCACATCCTCTCCCAGAATCCTTTCCCTCCCTAAGGCTCAGTCCCGAGCTCTATTAGTAGTCCACTCACTTCAATGTTCCTCCTAAGGACATGAGCGTCCTGATATGTCTTCAAAAATTGGAAGGTTGTGATGGAAGTTCATCAGACGAACTAACGTGATCACTTTTTTTGATGCAATTGGCTGAGATCATTATACACATTTCAAAGTATTATAAAAATATGTACGTAATCCGGACATTTCAAAACTGTAAAGTTTGTCGAGTTTTCAGAATCATAGTCTGTGTTCTTCATGGGGCGGAAGTGGTGTAGTGGCAAGTGGCAACTTACCACGCGAGCGGTCCGGGGATCAAATCCTGGGTCGTTAGTCGCCCAGGTCAACCGAGCCATCCATTTCCCTTCGGCCGATGTCAGACTTTGCGAATCGCGCGATTCGCTACTAGCGATTCGCGCGATTCGCTAGCGTCCGCGGTCGCGTTGCGGTACCAGCCAATTGAGTGATTCACTGGCCGCGACGCGACCGCAGACGCTAGCGAATCGCGCGATTCGCAAAGTCTGACATCGGCCTTCGGACCGACATGTTTGGGAGGATAAAAACACTGACTTGTACATCGGCTGGCCCCAGGCCACATCGCATTCAAACGCCACTCCGAATGTACATACAAATGGAAGTAGAATGCGTGCCGCATCCCAAAAAGGGATTGATCAGCGGCAAATGCTTTATCCTTTAAATTCCAAGACTCAATGATTAAAGCAACAAAGGATTTATACAGAACGAGGAACTGCTTTCCGCCGATGTATAAAGTGATAGCTTCTTTAGAAGTGATTCACAAATGGAGCGTTCAATGTGAGTTACTAAAAACAGCGGAAGATTCCCGAACAGCCTAATACATACAAATCAGAGTATTTACCTTCCCGTGCAATTAGTTTTACCAACTGATTGACCTCGGAAGCACGAATGACCTGGAAAGATTTGATCCAGGATTTGATTACGTGTCACCTCGCCACATCACTTCCACCCCGTTATGGCATATTTTGATACAAACACCAAAACAGAACTATCTCATCCTTTATTGAAACCTCTTAATTGTGAATCCAGTTAGGGTTATTTTTGCGCCCAACGAATTAATTAAACGGAACTTTTTTTACGTTTATTTATTCACTAGGTTCCACCTATGAATAAGACGAATGACTATGAACAAGACGAATGGATCTAAACGTTAAACAACTTCATCTGATGACCCCATTTGGCATAAGGAGAAAACAAACTTTGACACTGATGTGAAATTTACATAGCTGAAGTAGCTGCAGTATAGGAGGAATCTCATGCTAGAGTATGGTGAAAGGTTGTCGCTTTTAGCTTCCTACCTTCAATGATTTATTTCAACCACACGAACATCAGCGGCGGTTACCTCGCGCCGGTTCGCCCCGAAGTAAGCCCAGAAGTGAGCTAAAGGAGGAAAAGGTTATGCTAAGTGAGCTACAAGAGAGAAAGGTTATGCTCTGTGATCGGTAGGGTATTCAAAGTATGAGTTGCAAGGACTCGAACAGTAGGGGTAAACTGCCCCACCTCAACTGTTCACTTCCTTGTGCGTCAGAAAGGAAATCACCTGGAACCGTCATTTCAAACACGCTATACTGAAACACTCTTCGTTTAGGTTCACAGGTTCGGGTAAAAATGATGGGAAATTCCGCGGATTCTCCGTTTTTTTTTTCTGCGAAAACCACAAGTGCCACTTATGGTTAGTAACGGGCTGCCGAGGGCGTGCATAACGAAAACGTTCATTTTGGAAGATCAAGCCTAAAAATGACGCGCGCTATAGCCAAGATTGATTTGAGCAAAAAAGTCAATGTGAAGGATGTCGAAGCTGTAGGAGCTTTCCTGGAAGGGAACCTATCAATCGATGGACACAATTTCGAACAAAAGGTGGGCTCATGGCGCACACTGAGTGCAGCAGCGGCTACATTTCATCTCAAGCTGGCCATTTGACCTCTACTTTCATTTTCTTTCCTTTTTCCTTTCATGCTCCTTCAACAAACCACCTATTTGGTGAAGAAGTAAATAAAGGGCTAAATTAAATGCCAGCTGATGGAACCAGCGCTACATCAGTATGTCGTCGTAAATTTTATAGCTTCATGTGAAAAATTATACAAAAGGAACGCATACCTAGATGTACATATCTAAACGGCTATGCCATAATTAGAACCGAACAAAAATTTTCTGTCGCTAAATTTAACGAGCACATATCAGTGTTTCCAGTTTTCTCAAATTCCTTTTCTCTGACGGAAATCGTTTACTAAACTTTGTAATGTGATTTGTAATTGATTAATCATTTATTGAAAACTTTGATGGATGTTGACTAGTCACTGATTTTTCCGTAGCCACTGTGGAATGTTCTGGAAATTCACACCTTTTTTCACACCTTCA